TAAATGTCATCGATTCAGAATGTCATTCGACTTTGTTTTTACTTCTTGGGAAGTAGTTGAATAAAATTTATCAAAGTATAAAAGAAAAAGTATATTCCAATATTTATTTAAAAAAGTCTCCGACACTGGTATTTTGAATTGTATTGTCTGTTGTTTATGTTTACCAATATTTCATTTTCTAGTTTACTTTTTCTTTCTTTATGACACGACTGAACAGAAGAAACAATCATTATGAATTTTTTAATAGAAAATGAGAACCATAATATAATGTTGATTTGTCTATTTGTCATTTTGTCTTCGCTGTAACATTATTTAAAAAGAAAATTTTTGAACTTTCTTACTTGAAATCAAATGAACGGATCAATAAAATTCATTACGTGTGAGGAAGGTTGATGAGTTACAACAAGATGTCCTTCGTCAGAAAGTAGAAGTGGTAAAAGTTTACTTAAAACTATGGGATCAATAAAATAATATTTTTTTAAAGTTCTATTTTTGTACTGATTTATTCAAATACGAAAAAAAAATTTAGAAATCTGTAAAGCTATACGAATAAAGATAATAAAAAGATAAACTATGTATTATCTGAATTAGAAATTTTTTTCTTTTCAATATTGATTCAAACAAAATTAAAGAATAGAATTTATAAGTTATTTGATTTCTTTCTATAAATTAAGATCAATTGTCATCCATTAGTTAATTTCTCTTCAAATTCAATGATAGTTATTAAAATTCCAGCTAATTATAAAGTCATTGAATTAAAACAAAAAACGAATACATTCATGTAAACTTCCTAGGTCAAACAAACGGTGAGATCTTGCATGACCTTGTAAGATCAGACGGAAATCGTACAAAAAATCGTGGTCTCAGAAGTCTTACATCAAGTCTTACTCTAAGATTCTTGACAGATCTTGTTCCCCTATCAAATCTCACTGTAAGATTATAGAAAATCTTATGCGACGGTAAGATCTGACAACAATCTTGCAGTAAGAATTGATGTAAGATTTCTGAGATCACGATTTTTTGTACGATTTCATCTGATTGTATAAGGCTTGATGTCTGATTTTTTGATCTGGATATATATAAATAAGTTAAGTGAAGTTGGCAGTCGATTTGAGTTTTTTTCAAATAACATTTATTTTAATTGACTGAATCAAATGAAGTATATAATGAGCCAGATATAATTCAACGAGCTCTGTAGAGTGATAGACGTTTTGTTACAACGGAAATAAAATTTCAGTGAAAAGAATCCCTGACAAACAGAGAACCGTGTTCCAAGCCAGTGTTTTCTCTGGCAATGCACTCGACGATTTGAATCACTTGAAGATGTGAGAGTGTTGGTGAAAAGAAGGTCCATATCAATATCAACATGCAATCTGCATTTGGTAGTTCAATAAGAATTATAAACGTACATATGATTCAAACATTATTTCTAAAAGTAAATGGAAATAGCTATATTTTCAGGATGATGATGATGAACATCTCGATGTAAATCGATAATGAAAAGATTCAATTAGGAAACCTTTTTTTCACAAAACAAAAGCAGAACGATGAATGTATTGTTCAAATGAGTCGAATAAAAGCCGTTGAAAAAATTCCATTTTAAAATTGTCTCAAGTGAAACACTAAGATCAGGCAAAATCAACTGGTAGTAGTAATCACTGACACTTTAGAAACTCTCATATGTACAGTTTTATTTTCCATTGAATGCAACAGAAGTCATTCGATAGAATTCACCGAGCTACATTTTCCAACCAAACTCGAAAATTCATAAACTGTGTGTTCATGCAGCGTTATTGACGAGTGTACATGCATGAATCTCTATGACAGAGCATGTGGTTGAATTGAACACGTGACAAAGTAAACTATATTCGTGTTTACATGCTTGAAGTTTTGCGCATGTATACTCTTACTATTGCTGCTGCATTCAAGGACGTATGAATACTTTTGTAGACAACTCACGTGTGCACATGTAAGACAATTTTAGAATGATCGAAAAAGAAGAAGCATATGTTGTAAACGTACATGAATACGCAAGAGTTTTCTTCCTGAAATAAGATTCCAACATATATACTTTGCTTTATAAGGTAAACCTCTTCACCATTCGACGATCTAAATAATACATTAGAAGTGTAATCAAAACTAAATGGTATAATGTTCATCTGATAATTAATGTCTGCATCAGAATTAAAGATTGATGAGTATAATCTTAGTAATTCGACAACGGCAACAACCAACACTCTGCAATGTTCATCAATCGAAAGAGGAAAACACTTCGGACATCATTTTGTGTGATAATATATAAGATAAAATTATTTTAAAATCCATTATCTTTCACAAAATGTTCAAAAAAATGCAAGAAAACAGGGTTTGATTGCAAGGAAATTTTGATAAAAACTCAGAAAAGTTGTCAAAAAGTAACAAAATCCTACATAATTTGACCAAATAGATATGCAGTTTTGTTTGCTCAATATTGAGATATGAGAAGCTAATTACCTGAATGGTGCTGAAGCTATGAATCTAAAACTCATACATTTGAAGAAAATGTCGAAATAAAAATTTCATCGAAATGCAGCACTATTTTCACGCATGTTTTCAATATTTTGTCACGATGATGGGTTTTAAAACACTTTTACCATATATAGCATCAGATAAAAAAGACGTTCGGCGTTCTCCTCTTTAAAGTGTTGAAAACTGCAAGTCGTTAACTATTGCCATTGTCGAGTAATTAAGAGGCTTAGATCCATAGCTCGTTAATTTTAGCACAGGCATTAATAAGCTCGTGTGAACATGAAAACAAATAATTGTAAACGAATCCGAAGAATTCAACAAGGCTTTTGAGTCAATATGGTATAGATATATAAGAGCAATATCATTTTAATAAGAAGTCAATAAAAAATACTTTGAACTAAGATAAAATGAATTCTTCTATGCAGTAACATGCACACTACAAAATGACAAAAACTTGTGTGCTTACGCAGAATCGTTTTGGTGATAGTTTGATAAATATCATCTTTTTTTTCATTGACAAGCAGAATATAGTAAAATTCTAGTCATCAGACAAGTACGCGCTAATAATACTTTGGCATTTACATGCAAATCATATATCTTGATTCAATATGTAAGAGTGTTACATGTTATCATTATTTTCGAGCATAGGAATCGTGCATAGTCGTCTAGCAAGTTTTGCTTAAAACACTTCAAAACTTGTATTTTCATACATGTGTTTGCAATATGCACGTCAATCCATGTGCTATTGTCTTGTATTTGTGCGGACCGATTAAAAACATTTGAAATAGCTTCCATCTTGATCCATAAAATACGACGACATGGAAAATAAGTTGCAAGTACGCGCAAGTTTCTGAAAATACATGCATCTTTTAAGTTTTTGTGTGTGTGACTAGGAATATTGATACGAAAAATAACACGATAATAACAATAGCTATGGACAGGTATTTCATCTTTTTTACCTATCACCATTAAATAATGACTATAAGAAGAAAAAAAAACATAGATTTACTTAAATATATTAAGTCACTCATCTTAAATGGAAATGTTTAAAATATTTCGTCGAAATGGTATGTATCACTAACTATTTTTGTTTGCTATTTACTTGTTAATATTGAGTAAAAGAAAAGAAGAAAATTTTGTCATACAAAGATATTGTATGTTTTATTCTACCTAAGAGTATAAATTTGCTATTATTCAACGATAAATAAACTGGTTTTGTTTCAATATGAGCCTAGATTTTTAATTATGTTCTTTGCATTTATACGAATATGATGATAATAGTTAATCATGCTAGATTGTTGATTATTTTTGTCTTAATTGAAAAAAATTTGGATTATTTTAACTATAAACAAAAAAATGTAATCAACATAAATAATTTATTTAGGCATGGATTTAAGTGATCAGTAAAATAGATGATATGATCAGTAGGAAAAAATATTATAAAATCAGTTGATTGAATGAATGATCAGTTATATATTGAAGTACCAGTAAACTATACATATGATCAGTTGTTAAATGAAAAGGTGACGTAATAAAATTTGAATATCAGTAAATAAAATAATATAGCAGTCAATTAAATCAAAGAATCAGTAGAGAAGTAAAAAGTAGGACAAGATGAATCGGGTGTGGGTGTTGTCTTTCTTTCTGTTTCTTCATTGACCTATATCTACTAGGGAACTGCAAAGTGGTCCCGGTCCCGGTCCCGGGACCAAAATTTGACTTTTTTACGGGACCGGGACCGGGACTAAAAATTTTTCACATTGGTCCCGGTCAGTTTTTATGCAATATATTTTCACGTTTATTATTTTGACATGATTTAAGATCTGTAAATCAAATATTTTTATTTGCTATTTCTATAAAAGTCTTTACTGATTACGAGTCTGTTTGCAAGAATCTGAGTTTTCCAATTGCACAGGTTTTTGAATACATATAAAACAACCAACACAACACTATATACGTAAGTTTAATTTGTTCATTCTTCGATGATTCCTTTATTGAAGTCTTATCAGATAATAGTAAATAGATATGTATCGCCGTTTATTTTTTTTTTTTTGACAATCGTAATGGCTACTCAGTATAAATAATCAATTCGATAATAGATCCGTTAGGTAGAGCAGTAGATATAAAAGAAGAGAGAAATAAGTAAATGACTGCTACGAAGTACATGAGAATTTTTAACAAAATTCAATGGTTATTTTCATTTATTCGAGCTTTCAGTGAAATTCTTTCACTTTAACACTGGATATAAAAGAATTTTCGTACTGTTAACGAATCAAAATTATTCATGTCAATTTTATGTATTCATAAAAGTACACAGTTCGTAAAAAAAAGTTGCTCGATTTTAGAAATGAAACCATTGTCAAAGACCGGGACCGGGGCCGGGACTAAAAAAAGTGATTTTGCAGTTCCCTAATATCTACACAATGTAACATATATATGCTTTCCTTTTTCTTGTTCCTTCACGTTTATCATATTGTTAACACGTAAAAAATATGGAAGGAATCCAGGTTGCTCAATATGTAAGTGATTTATCAGATGAAGAAGTTTATAAAGAAAGTAATGAAAAACCTCAAAAGAAGAAAAAAAAAGAACAAAATATTGGGTCAAAGAAGCTGTGTTTGATAATGCTGGTGAAGCCGAAGCATCACTTGGTAACGCATGGTTGGGTGTGGGTGTGAGTATCATAATGTTTAAATATCCACACCCACAACCTCCTCATTCTATATTACACATTGCCAATAATTTTCATCTTTTTTACTGGTAAAATCTGTCTTATTTACTTATCAAATTTTCATTTTTTACTTAACAAATTTCTTTTTTTTACTGGTACAATTGATATTTTTTTACTGCTATTCTGTATAATAAACTGATCATTTTCATATTATTTACTGGTAATCTAAGTATTGATCATTCAATATCTTAACTGATCATTCAACCTTTAAACTGATCATTTATATACTTTTTTACTGGTACTTTCATCCATTTTACAGATCAAATAATTTGTTGCCATTTATTTATATTAATTAATAATATTATTTTTATTTTGGTTCCGAATTATTTTTTAACTTTTATTAAAATTATCTAATTAATTGATATGAAAGATTATGCAAATAAAGTTTTGCCTGTATAATGTCATCAATAAATAAAATAGCATGACTTTGTAAAGCAATTATATATTTATTTTCACAAAGATGAAATGCTCGTATTTTATTATTTAAATTAATTATTTCGTTGCTGTTCAATGTCAATTTTGTTTTACAAAAGAAAAGAACATTTTTAGAATTCTTGATCATTCTATATTGATAACTGTCAAGACTTGTTGATATTATTGGAATACTTTATACAAATTTTCATAAATAATCAGAACTAAATGTTCCACTATTGTAAAATTAAGACCTCTCTGTGAAATATAGATGTGCTACAGAAGTTTCATAGAGAGAAAATATGAACTAGTTGACCAAAACCAAAACCGATATTTACAGCTTTTCCAAACATAACAGTGCTACGTTTTCGACACATTCTTTTTTTAAAATCATCTCAGGATATTAGCGAGTTAGAACGCTCATTGAAACACTCTTCGACACAGCTTATTACACTTTATTTTTTCTATAAAAATAACCTTTTTAGTGGTTGAAGTCTCGAACTTCTAGAAAGATTTTATCATTGCCTAACGCTGTTACGTAAGAAGATCCTTTCTCTTATCAATGCTGCTGATAAAACTCTAATTTCTTGCAAAAAACATATCTCGAAATGAAGTACTGCTAGAACCAATTTTGCAAAGCATCGAATGGGCTTGTAAGCGGTAAAAAAGAAATACTTTCTCAAACTATTTTTGCTTCAATAAAAACTGTAAAAAAAAACCAAACGTAGAGTTGTTACAGTTTTTTGTTCACTGACGTTCAGATACGTCATGTGCTTAGAAATAATTGATTTTCATAAGTATTGATTGAATTCTGCATTGAATAGTATGCCACTCAGTATTTTTTGAAAAAAATTCTCGATTAGGAAATTCAACATAGGATCTTTGACAGATTTAGTTTAAAGTACAAATGCTAACTTCATAATTAGCTTGAAAAACTGCACTTGATTATTCATTCAGATATGTCAATTCAGAAAAAATATTTATCAAACACTTCATCAATGAAGTGTCGCTTTACGTGGACAAGCCATTTATCGTGTATTCGTTTCCGTATTTATATCTCTAGAGACGATCGATTTCTCATCCTAGCATGTTAACAACTTTGTTGAGATATTTTTAATTAGTTATTTTTTTCATTCGACTGGAAAATTTGAATGAATTGTAGAGACAGATTGAGAATAATTGATGAGAAATCTTCAGAAGATAATTTTGTAAATTTTGTTCTTTCTCTTTGAAAGACCGTATAACACCATTTTGCATCAAATACATTACTATTAATAGCATCTTTCCAAGATAACTATCATTCACAGACTTTAAACTCATGTAACTTATCTTCATACCATCTGACACATTTAAATATATCTTCTTTACTATTATTTATCATATTCAATTGATCATAACAAATGTAGGTCAAATGAGTATTTTTTTAACACCTCCCATATTCCCAGAACTACTTACAATATCTAAAACAAAAGCAAAGAAAGTGCAAGTGTTTTATTCGTTGCTTTCACAATTATTTTATCGATTCTCTAGGTTTAATTAAATTACGAAAAACAAAATACTATGTTTTCAATTACTATTTCCTCAAGTAAGCATAGTTGTGAACTTCTACAAATAGAAACACTATTCATAGTATTTTTTTTTGCTCAATATCTAAAAATATACACAGCATGAAATCTAATTTAATTCCTTTCAACATGATAAACTTTATAATAGTTATTTTCAGGTGGAAAAAAATTAATTATATACATACATACTAAAAAAAAAGAAAAATAGTTTAAAAAAAAAGATTTTTCTTTTTTTCTTGATTGTCATGAAAAATTATTCTGTACAAATTATTTTCAAGGTAACTTTGATTTGCTTTGAATACTAATGATAATTATATGCATTCAAATATAGCTATATTTATATTATTGAATATGAAAATGTACATTTTGCGTGACAGACGATCTTCCATCTTGCTCATGAGCTTACACATCATCGATGATGAGTAGAATAAAGAAGAAAAGAAAATAGACTATGTTAACACTAAAAATCCATTAGATGTTAGAATTCTATCCACAGAAACGGATGCATTCCCAATGTGTTCTTCTAATGTTGTCAAAGGTTTTTTTTTTCTTTTTCAGATGAACTCTTATTATATTCATTAAAATCAACCACGATAAATTTCAATATTCAAAAGAAAAACAAAAGTACTATTATTAGTAATATTATATTTCTATCGAATGAAAAAGTTCAAGTAAGTTTATCGATGAATGAAAATAACATTTTATTCATATATTAATTTCACTCAAACAACAATGTATTTATATATATATATATATGCGATATTTTATTGTTGCGCGGAAATAGGTTTTTTACCTATAAGGTTATTTGTAGTTTTGCTCTATGATAAGACCTTTTCTTTTTATTGTTTTTTTGACGACATTCATAGATTTTATAATAGATGGATATTATAGTCTCGATTATCGTTATACGCTTGACAAGACTGGAAAATAAAAGCATATAGAAAAATTAGTATAGTGTATACATACATTTGTATAGATGTCTAATGTAGACGTTTGGTTCGAAGAAGCGTATAAACAGTAATGATTAAGTCTGATGTAGAGGAAACAAAACTACTTATCGATCGGGCTATTCTTTTGATTGAAGTCGGTGAAAATAAGAAAAAAAAAAGAAGAAACTCAATTGAGTTCATCATAATCATTAATCACCTGGTGACTTGTATTTATTACTGTGTTCTATATTAAGAAACACAAAAATAAAGCACCGAACGAAACTTGAATGTGTGTTATATTAAAAATTATGTTTTATATGTAAGAAGTGCGAATGTCATCGAGATAATATAAATATATAAATGTTTTGGTATGTGTTAAATGAAAATAGTTTTTGGATTGTGTCTATCTCTTTGTTTTTTTTTTGTTTTTCTTCTTTCTTTTTCTTGTTGTTCTTTCTCTGCATATTATTGGTAATTATTGTAGAATGGTACTAATATATATATATTGTAAAAAAAAACTGTATGAGAACATAAATAACCCATGGTAGAAATGGTTGCGTGCGCTTGCAAATTAAAGATAACAATATGAAGACTAACAACGGCATGAAGGAAAAAAACATCAATGTTACAAGAATTATCATATAAGTCTTGTACAAATCATTTTCTTCTAGATTTCTTTTCTTGTTGATCAAATGATCATTTAATATCTGAAAAATCTATTAAGATTATATTAATCATGAAAAAAATTCGTAAATATTTAAATCAAACCGTTAATGTTAATAGTAACAATAACAAACAAACTTCTACTTTGTCAACTAATTCTATGGGTGGATACTCAACGTAAGTTGTCAGTTAGACAGATTAATGATCAACTAGTGACGATAGGTCTTTAGTTTGCATGCTTGATGAATTGGATGTGACACATGTTTTGACATACAATAATGACATAGTAACATGAAGGTTAAATTGTTGTCTAATATATAATTTTGTTATATGTTCGTCATGTTGACAACATATGATTTGTATACAAAAAAAAACACACATAGACATACACATACGTTTTTTTTATAAGAAAGCCAAATTATGAAAATATCTGTCAAAACATATTTCGTATTAATAAAATTTGTTATGAAAAAAAATGATGAATACTTTTTTCCCCAGTGTCACTTTATTTTAAATGTCATATTGCTGGAGTAAATTGTTGTTGTTTCGTATCTTTTATAGTAACAAGCTTTATTATGATGTTCTACCAAAGAACAATAATAACTTGTTGAAGAGACCTTTTTTTTTTCTTTTCTTCATATTATTGATAAGTAATAATCACAGTTCCTTTCTTCTTTTTTTTTTTGTTAATTTATAGTAAGATCATAAAGCTAAGAGACAATAATAATTTTAAATTCTAATACTTATATGAAGAAAGAAAGAACTTGAAAAGTCCTTGTTCTTCGTTGTCTTCCGTTTTATCATAGTCAATGACTCGCTTTGATCTCTTACTCATATCTTTATGCATGAAACAGACGAGCCTTGTGTTAGCTGGCAGATGTGCTTGTCTCTTGCTAACATCGTTTTGTCCGTAGTACGTCTATAAAAGACACACAAAAAAAAGAAGAGTGTCTCCCATCATTTTCTGGCATTTTGCGACTAATCGTTGTTCCTGACATTTGACAAAGAAGTTGATCGTCACTCGTCTTTTATGCTTATTTATTGTTCTTGTTTTGTATATCGTTTCAATGTTACGCTTTCTATTGCTGGACGATCTCAAGGGAAAAGTTGAGTGCTACATGAGCACGCGTGTGCTCGTTCGTTATAGTAACTAACTTCCAACTTCTTCTTCTTTTTCTTTGTGTCTCTTGTGTTTCTAAAGACATTGTCAAAAGCAAATCGATGAAAAATCAAATAATTGTTGTATATTGAATAATAGGTATAATAAAACAGCATCAATCTAATAAATCGATATGATAGTTACAATTGTGTGTACGTTTTTTTCTTTTTCTTTTTGTTTTTTAATGAAATTCAATAGTTTTATGTAATTTGTCTAATATTTTTTTCCTGATAAATAATCATGTATCAAACGACATGTTCGATTAAAGTGAAACAACCTACGTTATGGACTGTGTAGGTAGATGTGATTGCATGAAAAATTCCCTCTGGTTTTTCTTTCTTTGTTTATTTGTGGCATGACTATATTATATCAACAAGAGATTAAATCAGTTTTTTTTTTTCGTTAGATTTTGACGTTTTTGTTTTCTCTAGGAAGAAAGTGTCAATTTTTTCAAGTTCAGGTAATTATTTCGGAATCAGAGACATAAAGATAATATATAACATGCACTTTTTTCTCTTCGTTTTTTATTTGTACTGAAGAATAAAAACATCATAAATATCACCTTTTTGTTTGCTTTATCTTTCTTATATTAGGTATTTCATAAAATTTTAGTCCAAAATAGTTCGATTCAGTCTTTTCTATTTTTAAACAATTAGAGAATAAGTTAACCTTTTAAATATATTGAATACAGTATTAACCAAAGAAAAATTTCGGTTTTGACATTGATAAAAAATTTTGTCAGCTGACTATTATTTAGTTGATTATTGTCTTTATCATTTTTTGTTATATCTTACTCTTCTTCGTCTTTTATTTTGATATATATTTTTTCTCTCGTTTTTACTCATTCTTCTTGTAAGCTGTATAATACCGATTCGAATGAAAGACGGACAACCAAAGTAAACCACGCCCTATGCACATCGTTCTCGTTTTCCCTCGTCTTTTTCCTTATCTTCCCATCATGCATAATAATGTGCGGCATGCATGTGTATGTTATCGACGACCATCATCATAGTGCCATTTTGGCAGTTGCTTTCGATTTACGAGTCGTATGAACTCAATGTGTATATATACATATATATATATATATATATATATCGTTTATTGAAATGATCTTAGTTATGTCTGAGAGTGAGTTTGAATATAATGAGAATTTTGTCAGATGGATAGTTTAATCGATTGTTGATATTGAGAGTTAAGAGCAGCTGGTATAGAAAAGAAAAATGCTTACGATAGAGAAAGATTCTACCTTATCATATTTGATTTCATAAATCATAACACAAAAAACGATGAATATCACAAATATTAGTCTGGTTATAAACTTAGAATTTTTTTTTATCCAACACGATGACTTTGACTTTCTATTTTTATCTTATCTTTTTCCTTAATTCTTTTTTAGCTCACCTGAATCATCAAGGTCGCCACCTCCACTTAATTCAACAGCGTCAACAAATAGTTATCAGTCTATAGTATCATCACCAACCGAATCATCACCATCAAATCGTTCATATCTTCGTTTAAATAAATCTTTATTTCCATCGATTTCAGTATCAAATCAATTAACACAACGTTCATCACCCAAATCTTCCGTATCAACACCTACAAGTGCTGATTCAATAAAACGTAGCTTTTTTCGTTTTAATTCAACATCATCAAATAGTGGAAATAGTTCCACAAATCTAAAGAGTTCTTCAAGTGCAAATTTAATTATGGGTCAAACAGGTAGTAATGTTAAACGAAGTCAAAGTGATATACAAACATTTCTTGATAAAGAAAAAGAAAAATTTATTGAAAAAATTGAAAACCCTATTAAACAAAATGCTCGTTTAGAAGATTTTGAGTTAATACGTACGATTGGTACAGGTTCATTTGGTAAGAAGAACTTCACTAAAACATTCTTTAAATTTCTCATTTGTTTTTCTAATTTTTTTTTTAATTCATCAGGTCGAGTATTATTAGTTACACATCATGATAGTTCAAATGAAAAAATAGCTTTAAAAATACTTGATAAACAAGTTGTTGTTAAAATGAAACAAATTGATCATACATTAGCAGAAAAGAAAATTCTGCAAGCTTTATCATGTCCATTTATTGTTAAACTATTGTATACATTTAAAGATAATTCTTATTTATATTTGGGACTTGAATATGCACCCGGTGGTGAAATGTTTACACATTTACGTGCTTATGGACGTTATACAGAAGATATGACAAGATTTTATGCTGCACAAATTGTACTTGCTTTTGAATATCTTCATCATTTGGGTGTTGTAAGTTTTTTAAAGAAATGCTTCTTTTGTTGTTTCTATTAGAAGATTTGATTTTGTTTATTTTTTTTCTTTTCCATTTAGATATATAGAGATCTTAAACCAGAAAATTTACTTTTTTCTGCTGATGGTTATTTAAAAATGGTATGTTTATTGAGAAATTTAATTATATGAAAGTTTTTGTGAAATTTTTTTTATTAATAGACGGATTTTGGTTTTGCAAAACGTGTTAAAGATCGAACATGGACATTATGTGGAACACCAGGTACGATCAAAACACACCATATATCGATAGGTTAAAAATGTCTAAAAGTGATGTAGTTTTGTTTTCGAGAAAAATAAAATCTTTTTAGTTATTCAATTAGTTAGAACTACGAAATGAAAACTCTTCAAACTAATATATGTATGCTTTTTTTTTAAATAGAATATCTTGCTCCAGAAATTATTCTCAGTCGTGGTTATAATAAAGGTGTCGATTATTGGGCATTAGGTGTACTTATGGTAAGTTATTTTTTATAAATGAAAAGAAATTTCTTCAATTGAATTCATTCAGTATGAAATGAGTGCTGGTTATCCACCATTTTTTGCTGATCAACCTATACAAATTTATGAAAAAATTGTATCCGGTCGTGTTCGTTTTCCTAATCATTTTACTGTTGATCTTAAAGACTTACTTAAAAATTTACTTCAAGTTGATTTAACACGTCGTTATGGTAATTTAAAACCTGGTGTACGAGATATAAAAGAACATCGTTGGTTTAAAGATACAGATTTTATAGCTATCTATGAAAAATCTATTCCAGCACCATTTATACCACGAACCGATAGAGAAAATTATGAAATATATGAAGAACAACCATTGACAGTAAGCTCAACTGAACGGTATCCAAGAGAATTTGCTGATTTCTAGAAGTATATGCTCGAAATATTGATGTATCGTTTTCTTTTTGTTTTGTTTTTTTTTGCTTTGTTTGTTCTTTCATGTATTTATATATAGATATATATATGGTTTTTTTTTCCTTCGATCGAGCATACTTCTTTGCTTTCAAAGTTTACGTTTTTTCTTCTCTGATGTTTGTTTGTTTTCTTTCGCTCGTGATATATACTTTGTTTTTGAGCGTGTTTACTGGAATGAAAAAAAGAAGAATACAAAAAAAAAAAAAAAAGATTAATAATTGGTCTTTTAGATTAATATTAATACAAATATCGATTAGTTCTATTTAAGTTTATGTCTAGAAATTATTTATGAATAATTAGAATTTTTAAATTATTTGTATCTATATAGTTATTCAACGATAAGATTATTTCTTTTTCATATACATTTGCTTAGTACTGTGTAATATTACATTGTATATGCACATATATATATATATTGTAAAATGTGGACAATATTAGTTAAACTTGTTTAAACAGATATGATCAATTTTGAAAAATAAAATTCATTGTTTCATCGTTAAAAAGAGAAGATTGCAAACACTTAGGACACAGAACTACATATACGTAAAAGTATAACTAAGTTTAACAATAAAGCAATCTAAAGAAAAAAAACCCTTAGGCAAAAAAAGCATTTCTTTTTGTTTTTCAACCACGAATATATTCTCAATAGATAAAATGAAAGTTTTGTAAGATATAGAGTACTTTAGTCTCTGGTTTGATTATTAACAATGCAATCAGTTGATCAATTCTGTTTTCAAAATGTGAAAAAAATAAATATGTACTTCTATAATATTTCATTAAGAAACAATTCCATTTTTAACGCTGACACAATCACCTCGGGTTCACATGAACCCTCTGTTAGCTTTATCATGCTGTTATAAATATAGAATATTAAAATAAAGCTGCTAATCTGCCTATTATTTATGTGAATACTTGTTGACTATCTTAGATTTCCCCCAGACCCTAATAAGATTCATTGTTATATTATGCATTCATAACATTCTAATCGGACCATGTCTTTGTGAGGTATGTGCTGGGCATACTTCGAAGCAGTCGAATTTTTTCTCGATCAGTCGATTGAAATTTTTGAGTTAACCGGTAAAAAACCAGTTCATTTGGTGTATCAATTAATGAATCAATTTCTTCGAGAAACAGTCTATTACTTCAGTTCTAAGAGAACAAACAAAATAAAACTTATATAATTCTTGACGTTTCTAATTGTAACAACTTCTATTTCAGTCTGTCATCTCTTATCTAGTAACTCACAGCAACGAATATGTATCCTACGCTTTGGCTGATTGTTATTTTTTCAATAATAATATGATTTCTTTATAATTGATCAGTTTGATCTATTAGTATTTGATGTCAATATTTAATACAGTCGAAAAGTATTTCAATTCTGTAAAAGGATATTAATATCAATGGAAAGAAAATGTGAGCTAAAATTCACGATTTTTATATTAGGCTATGTATTTTAAAGTTTCTTAAGTTCTAGATATTTTCACAGTTGTATGATGCTAGTAGTTCGAAAGATCTTCACAACAGAAAGAAATCTTTTCTGATATTTTGTAATAAAAACATGAACTAAAAACCACTAAGTATTGAAATTTGATGAGAATCGGTTAAAAATAGCCCAGAAAAGTGAGGCAGAAATTTTGAGGTGCAAAGTCTTTGGCATAGATCGAGATTAACTTCTAATACCCGGCTAACTTTTCGAGAGCATAATAAATTAATTCAGTATGATCGAAGGCTCTCATCATACTACAAAAAAAAATGTTAGCTGAATATTTACAATTAGAAACTTTTTAGTTAGAGACTTCCAGGCTCGTATTCCTTGATTATTAAAATCATGAAAATCGTTAAAAAACGAGCAAAATACGCCAAATTTAGTGCCCTAAAAGCCAATAAAAAATAACCGTCCTATCCGGTTCCATGTTTAGCATCAAGAATACTTAGTACAATATATTTATAACATCAGTCAATCGTATGCAATCGTTCTTTTTACATAGAAGAGTTCGAACTATATTTAAGTACTGAATAGTAATGCATGATTTCAAATGCCTCGAAAATAGAGAATGATAAGACCATTAAAAAAAGAAACTAATTGCCTTTTTTTTTGTTTGTTTTTCTTGTAATCAAGTCTTCATATGTTTATGATAAATTAGTAACAACATCGTGTCTTATATATTTATTTTATCATTTAGGCTCTGCATGGTCTCCAGGTGGACAACAAATGGTTGCTTTAGGGTTAACATTTATTATTGTTATATTACGTATGTCTTCTTGTTTTGTTTGCTTTTCTTTTGTTGATCGAAATGGAAACATACGTGCTAATGAAACAAAAGATAAGATTATGTGATTTGCATTATAATTCAAATCGGACCATAGTGCTATGAGTGTAAAATTAGTGGATGATAGTGAATAGAGAAATGTATTTCATAGTTGTATAGTCAATCATACTTTTTTTACTCTAACATGAATGTCAATAGAAGAAGAGAAACATTTCATTCATTATTCAATACAAGTGAATTCAAGATTAACAAAACAAAATATTCTACGAAATACAAAATTTCATATTTAAATGTGTTTGATTATTTTAAAAGAACATGAATAGAGACTTTCTGTATCTATTTATTTATTTATTTTGGATATGCACGAAGAATAATGAGCCAAGCTATAAGAAAATAAAATAAAAATATTGGATAGAGTACAAGCATTCGACGATTTGGATGTTGAGTTTGTCCGAGAAAACGTGTACTAGCATACATAGTCCAAGCAAAAGCAGCCATAACAATTAAAAATCTTATTATATGAAAAATAGGTATTGATGATTTCGATGAGAAATATAAAAGAATATTATTTATGAATGCTGCTATTAATAATGGTAATAAACAATAGCCAAGAACACAAACAGATTGAAAAAATGAGATTTTTCCGCCGAGTAATTGTGAATTAACCTGAAAATAAAGAAAAAATCAACAATATTTCTAAACGTATCGAAGTAAATTCAAGATTGACAATTTTTGTAATTCTTCGCTTTCTTTTTCTTTTTGTGTTAACGGATGATTGGAAAGTTTTTAGAAAAGATATTTGTTCACTGTTGACTAGCTAAAAATTATTAAAAGCTATGAATTAGGATGCTCTTTTCAAATTGGACTCGGGAACTTTGTTTAACAATAGTGAAATAATCTTTAAAAGGCACAAAAGCTATTGTCTGTGAAAAAAATAATGGTCATGGTCATTTTTATAATAACTCAAGAAAGAAAAGAGCTAGAGAGCTGCGATTTTTATCAGTCGAAAGAGATGACACTAGGGTATCTTTTTCTCCAATATTGTATAAGACGAAATCATTTTAAAATCAATCATTTCTGCAAGAAGTCCATGAAAACGGTCGGTCGTTCCAATGAAATTTTGGTTTTGATATGTGATTTGGATAGAGGAAACTCAGGTCTATAGTTTAAGATATAATTTGAATGATCATCTTCACACATTATGACGTTAAGTAAATCAAATTCTTTAATTACGCCCTCGAAAAGTATGAATTTCTCTTAATTTTTAAGCAAATTTTCTTACTTTTTGTCAAAATTTCATATGAATGACAGATAATTTTTATGTCTTTTTTCGATGTTTTGTAAAATCATTTGATTTTAAAATGATTTCGTCTTATACGATATTGGAGAAAAACACGCCTTAGTGTCGTCTCTTTCGACTCGTAAAAATAGCAGCTCTCTAGCTCTTTACTTTCTTGAGTTATTGCGAAAATGACCACGATGATTATTTTTTTAAACAGACAATAGGTTTGGGCGGAACTTATGTGTGAACGTTTTTGGACGAACATGTTTATTTATTTTAGTTTTCTTGAAAGCATTAAAGACGAGATAAAAACTATAGGTTGCGGTTAGGATGTGAATGTGGCCTTTGAAATGTTCTACTTATTTTTGTTTAAAAGTAGTGAGGATTTTTTGAAATGGCTGGAACTTTTTACCCAACAGGCTTTTATTTACTGTATAAGTCTCTTTTCGAACATACTAAAATGGATTGGAGTCGATCGTTTGATAGGATGGATATTCCTATATAAAATGTGATATTGAACTAAACTTGTAGCTTCTATCCCATAATTGTTTTCAAGAGTTCTCTTCAAGACAAAGTCGTTGTCCGTTTTTACAAAGATGAGTTTTTAGGAAAAACAAATATTGAGGTACTGTATCTAAAGGCAAAAGCAAATCTTCAAATAATGCATTTTTTAGGTTAGCTTTTGATCTACAACTTGATATATAGAAATAAAGAATCCAACTTTTAGTATCACAATGCAATAGAAAAAAATATGAAAGTCTTCTCCCCAAATTAGTGTTTTTAGGCTTTGCAAAGATAATGTCACTAAAACTAAATTTCTATATTCATATTCTAAAAGAGCATCCTAACAATCATAGCTTTTCATACTTTCTAGTGGATTAAAAATGAACCAACATTTTGTCTAAAAAACTTTTCAATCATCCATTATTATGAGTTAGCATTTAAATGAGGGATGTCTGTTACATGATATTTAATTATACTAAGATAGTTGAATTATCGATAATTGGAAAAGAAACAGATACAATACAAGGCATATGTTTTTTTTTTTGATACGGGAAATATTCATTGTGCTACGTACATAATGAAACATTACATTCTTAAGAATAATATATTATTCTTATCATTTTCAAATATTCTATTAAATCATGACAGATAAAGATATACAAGTCGTTTTATCAAGTATCAATGTCGAATTTTTCTTAGAACTGGCCATTGACGGCTTTTGAAGAGACACTATTTATGGGATAAAAGGTAATTTTCAATTTGTGAAAAATTTATATTTCAAATTTAAAAAAAAAATTAAATCTATTTAGGAGATAATCAATATTTGTATTTGTTATTTAAATATACAAAGAAACATTATTCCGAACAATATGAATCAAAAGTGATTCTAAATAGCTAAAGATTTGATCTTGTAGAGAGTAAGATAAATTTCGTTTTGTAAAATAATTAAAAACAGAAATGTTTATTCATCGTAAAGTATATATGATGATGTTTTACAATAACAAAAGAAATCCATCGAATAGATTATTAAATTTCATATTTGTGTTTATACTATATAAGACATTATAGAATCTAAATATTATTGTATACTTCAGGAAAAAATGTGACAGATTAAGAAACTCTGCCTTATTCACTCTCATTATATCTTAAAATACTATTAAACTTTTCTTATTAAAAATTTCATAACATACGGTAACAGCAATAGATCCAATAAGCATTAATGTAAATACTTGAGCAAATTGTACACCAGCACTAGATTTCGTTGCATTAGTTTGAAGAAGAATAGCTAATGTTGTAACTAAAATAAGTGGTCCCCATAAATCCCATTGTTGTAAAAGTGATGATGATTGACGTGGAATGACAGCATAACCAAATTTACGAATAACAGCTCCAAGATCACCTTGAAAAGAAAATAGAAATTAATTTCTTTTTATTCAAGGTTTTTTTAAATTTTAAAACTACAAACGTTTTATTGTTTCTAAAACTGGTTCATCAAGTGTTGATAATTCATTTTGATTATTTCGATTTGAAGTTGATGTTATATCACCTTCAATCATATCGATTGTTTGTGAAGATGAACTAAGAAATGGTACTTGATCATTATCAATTGATGTAGCCATGATTTCAGTTACTCCAAAAAAAATATATTAATGAAACTAATGATTGGAAATTGAAAATATTGTCTGGCATATATATGAATCATTGGAATTTTGTTTTTATTTTTCATCATCATGGAGAGCTAAGAGAAGAAATTCATTGGTATAGAATTTCTTCCAATGAATTATTAGAATATTTAATTATGAATTAGCAGTACAAAATCGTTCATCTTTCCATTTCTTTTATTATTACGCATATTTTTCTTTCTAGAATAAACAGATGTAGAAAAAAATAAAAAGAGATGACTAGCATTTGCATCACTATTTATTAAATAAAGATAGATTCATTTAGGCGTGTGATGACAAGCAGAACCGAAATAACGATCAATTATTATTGCAGCAGATGTCCTACTATGAATACAGAAGTACCTTCTAGTTGATTCTTTTTTCTGAGAACAAAAGATACGTTTTTCTTCTGTGTTGCTAAATGGGATAGCGTTGTATGAAGATAGTCGATTGCATCAGAAAAAAAACTTCTCCTTTCAGAAAATATCACGTACAAGGTATTTCTTCATTCATAATAGAACATTTCCTTAAAGAATTCAGTAAGAAATCAACACCTCACACTTTAAATATTTTATATTGTAGACAAAAGCACGTAATAATTCTTATCTCTACATCAAACAAATATTTCATTTTGTGGCTTGATGTAAACATCAGAACAAAGAAGTAAAGAAAGAAAGTATGAATTATTTAAAAAAAAAAGATATATAATAATTCAAAATATTTTTATAGATTAAAATGAGTTAGAAGAGAATATTATAATGTTTTATTCATTGATTTGTTTTTAATTCATTGAAATATTATTGATTTGATTATATCAGTTAAAATATTTTGAAAGAATTGAAATTTCCTTTTTTTTTTGTTTTTACTTCATAATGCTATGAAATTGTATCTAACCTTCTCTACGGTAATAGATACAATAAATCGAATCTATACTTATCTCTTACTGATAAACAATGTTTTCTTTTGAGTCGTTCTCTATAGTATTGAAAACTCTAGGATATGAACGTCAATTATTATTTATAAAATAATATTCTTTTTCTCTTTTTTTTTTTTACAGGAAAAATTTAGAAATATTTTTCTTTTCTTTTAGTATATGTCTTTTGTGTATTTCTTATTGTATTTATATGATCGTTTTATTTATTTATAGATTTGTGTCACTAATGATTATTTATTAGCGTTAAATTTTACGTTCATACACAAAATTTAACAGATTTGATTTTGTTTCCTATTTTTATAATATTATTTTTAATTAGGTCTTACTTATAATGTATTATTCTTAATAAAATTATTTATTATTTAACTCTTCATGTATAAAGAATTCTTTTGTCATGTTTAGAATCATATACAATTATCAATCAGCTTAAATTTCAATCAAAAGTTAAGCTTCTATAGTTTATATCAATTTTCTAGATAAGATGTTTTGTGTACTTATTGAATTTAACTATTCGTAAGTTTATATTAGTTTTGAAGCTATCAAAAAGATATAGATCAATCGACTATTGATTAAACTTTATGTCATGCATAATCGAATGTTAAAGTTCAAATTTAAGAATATTATTTAGTTCTGACATGAAACATAAAGTATATCAGGTAACTTTGTCATCATCAGATAAAGTATATC